CATGGATATTATTTTTGCATGTAAAATATTTTCTAAAAGTTTTATGTCAAAAATACTTGTCGTAATATCTAAATTATAATTTTTTTAGTTTTGCCTCGAGTTCTAGGTGTACCATCACATTTTTTGGCCAAATTTTAAATTAATGAAAAAATTTGACATATTTGACATGGATATTTTTATTTGCACGTAAATTTTTTTATAAAAGTTTCATGTCAAAAAGACTTGTCAGTAATGTCTAAATTATAGTTCTTTTAGTTTTGGACTCGAGCTTTATGGGTACCATCACATTTTTTTTCCAAACTTTAAATTCATCAAAAAATTTCCCAAATTTGACATAAATTTTTCTATTTTCATGTAAATTTCTTTGTAAAAGTTTCATGTAGCAACATGACTTTTTATAAATCTGCAGAAATCCCAAATGGTCATCGCTGGGCTAAGTAAGAAGGAGAAACAAAACATTTTCAAGGAGTTTGGGATAAAAGAGGGATCTCTACCTTTTAAATACCTTGGGTGTCCTATATCAGCAAGTAGATTCACAGTGGCTGACTGTGATGTATTGATAGAAAAGATCACTGCCATAATAACTTCCTGGAAGACCAAGCATCTTTCATACGCAGGAAGATCCAGATTAATCCAATCAGTGCTGTTTGGAATGGTTATTTTCTGGGTCAGAATTTTTGTCATCCCGGGTAGGGTCATGAAGAAAGTTGAGGGGTTAGCTAGGAACTACCTGTGGGGCTCTTCTGAAATCTATAAAAGGGTGCCTCTGGTGATTTGGGAAGACACCTGCAAACCTGAAGTGAATGGGGGGTTAGGGCTACCTAATATTAGGCTTTGGAATAAGGCTATGATCATGACCCTTAACTGGGATATAGCAATGAAGAAAGACTGCTTATGGGTTAAATGGGTTCACAGCAGGTACTTAAGGAAGGATGATGATTTTTGGGGCTATAAACCCAGAACTGAAGCATGTAGCTACTGGAAAAAGATGATCAAAATCAGAAGGGACTTTGAAGGAATGACTTCAACAGAAAGTTACACTAATGAGAAGGGATACAAATGGCTGTTGGGGCAATCTCCTAAAACTGGTTGGGCCGGGCTGGTTTGGAACAGATTAACCATACCAAAACACTGTTGGAATTTTTGGCATTTTAATAGGCATTAAAATGGACCAACTAGGGTATATTTGTCAATAGGTCCACTAACGGTTTTAACCGTTAATTAATGGACGTGTTTTCTCTTAAATGAGATAAATGTTTTGACAATTTATACGTCAAAAATGGTAGAGGGTGAATGAGAAATTGATTCTCAGAGTTAACCCCAATTATTTTCTTATACCACTCCTAACGTTAAAAACGTTAAAATGACTTGGTTAGAAGAAAATAATTAAAATGCATAACAAATTTTAATCAGGTAAAAATGCCTCAATTGACCGGTAATTAGAGGTTAATAAGCCCTGTTTAAAATTTGCCTGCGTAGCGTAACGGACGTGTTAATGGCTAATTAATCACCATTAACACTCCACAAATGCCATGATTAATTCCAATGGTTAATGGTGTAGGAGTTACATTTTTTAAACTCCTTAGTTATAAAAATCAAAGCTCTCTCCATCATTTTGTGTGTGTGCCTTGCGCGAGGAAGAGAGAAAGAAAAGATAAAACACTTTATTATTTTCTTTTAGGGAGAGCTCTTGATTTTCCGGCCAATTTTTCCGGCCATCCCCTTTAAAGTTTGTCGCCAACGTTCCTACGTTGTTCTTGTTCGTTGGTGTGTGGTTGGTCCGTACAATCTCCACACACGATAGCGGTTTTATCCTGGGAGGAGAGTGCCCACGTTTTCCGGTACGGTAGGCGGGCACTACTACCTTAAGGACAGCTCCGGTGACTCCGCTGTCCTTTCACGGTGTTGTGTTTTTGCAGGTTCAGTTCATAAAGACCTCGCTGCATTCTGTCCTAGTGCATAATGTCCTCGCAGCCCTGTGCATAACGTCCTTGTATTGCTGTCCAGTGCTTAAAGACCTCGTTGTCCAGTGCTTAAAGACCTCGTTGTCAAGTGCTTAAAGACCTCGCTGTCTAGTGCTTAACGTCCTCACTACCCAGTCCTTAATGTCCTCGTACAACAAGGCCGTTTGAAGATATAGCAATTTTTCTCAACTTTGTTTATTTTGTAATATTCTGAATAAATTATAAATTCAGAATTTTATTTATTTTTTATTTTCCGGGGCCGTTTATCTTCCCCGTCCGTTGTAATCCGTACGAGAATTGTAACAAACACCAATTCTTGGTATGGCTAATCATGAAAAATAGACTACAAACTAAGGCGAGGCTAACCAAATTTATGAGCATCTCTACTGACTATGTTTTATGTGACAAAGGAATTGAAGATACTAAACACTTGTTTGGAGATTGTGCCTTCTACATTGATATATGCAAGAAATTAAAGGAGGAAGGGGGATGCAATCTCACTGACACCAAACTGGAGGGTATTTACAGCTATTTCAAGAATCAAGGGCCAAGAAAAAAAAAGGGCGAGGAGGATTGCTAACCGAGCAGCAGTATGCTATACGGTATGGAGGGCCAGGAATACGAAAATCCATACGAATAGGAGTCTGGGTATGAAGGAGAAAGTAGATTACATCTTATTTGTTACTAAGTGTTATAGTAATAGTAAAGGGAAACAAGTGTAGTAGGATTTAAATCCCTTGAGAAAGGCTGTAAGTTTGTTGGATGTTTTTGTTGGAATAAAGTGATGTGCTTGTTTGCAAAAAAAACGTTTAATGTTAAAAAGACTTGTCAGTAATGTATAAATTATAATTTTTTTAGTTTTGGCCTCGAACTTTATGGGTACCATCACATTTTTTTTCCAAATTTTAAATTCATCATAAAATTTCCCAAATTTGACATGAATTTTTCTATTTTAATGTAAAATTATTTGTAAAAGTTTCATGTTAAAAAGACTTGTCAGTAATGTATAAATTATAATTTTTTAGTTTTGGCCTCGAGCTCTAGGGGTACCATCACATTTTATAAATTTTTTTAGTTTTAGCCTCGAGCTCTAGGGGTACCTCGAGCTTTAGGGGTACCATCAAATTTGATAAACTTTGATTTCAAATTAAATAAAAATGATATTAGCTATTGATATGAAAATAGTTTTATTAGAGTTATTATATCAAATATTTTTAAATTATTATTTTATTTAATTGATATAAAATATATATTTTATTTTATTATATGTCAAAAATTAAAAAAAGTTGTCTGAAAAAATTAAAATTGGACAAATACTCAGGGATGAAGATAATATATTTTATATTAATTAGATAAAATAATATTTTGAAAAATTTGATATTATAAATCTAATCTTCATCAATATGTAATATCATTTCTATTTAATTTGAGGAAATAATATTTCAATTTTGACCAAAAAGGAAAAATGGAAAAAATACTCACATTGAGGGAGTATATAATAAGAAGAGTAAATTACATAAAAGGTCACCAGTTATAGGTCATTTTACATATTTAGTCCCTACATATCAAATATTACTTATTTAGTCCCTAATTATTATATTCATTTCCACGAATGGTCCCTTGTTAACATTTCCATTAAAAACATAGATAAAATTATCAATTCACACTACTTTTTCTCCTCAATTAAGTTTCCTCCTTCCTTTCGTACTCTTTCTCAAATTTGTCGCTGAGTTTGAAGCTCCAAATCCAAAACTGAAATGATCAGACCTCTCTAAAATCAAAACCAATAAGCTTTATGGATGAGTTTTATCGGTTAGTCTCAAAAAATTGCAAAGAAAATAAACAGTAAAACTCATCAATGAAGGAAACTGGTTTCAAATTTGGATTCCATCAGTTCGACAAACAATTGAGAGAAGAGTGATAATTTTGAATTTGGGTTCAATGCTTCAAACTCAGCGACAGATTTTGGAAAGGAATGCGATGGGAAGAAAGAAGCTTAGTTTAGGAGAGAAAGAAATGTAAATTTACAATTTTATCCACATTCTTAACGGAAATGTTAAAAAGGACTATTCGTGAAAATGAATATAAAAATTGGGGACTAAATAAGTAATATTT